CTGTAAACATCTAAACAAAACTTTAAAATTTGAAACGTAAATGAAAGACAAAGGCGCTTCAGAGTTGCTTATCCTGTGAAAGCAGAGTTAAGTGCTAAAAGAAATTAAAACCTTAACAACGAAAATTATACAATGAGATTAATTCTAAAAAAAAATTGTCAAGTATAAGAAAAAGAATTTAATGAATGTATATTGGAATATTCTGTGTGAAATGTATAGGTATAGTATCTATTATAAATTTTCGATGCTATGTTTTGACGTTACATTGCCGTTTTGTGTGCTCCGCGGGTACAGAACATGTTGATTTGAAAATGAAGTAAATTTATTTGTGTTAATTCGAATAGAATGAAACTTCACACACCAACAAAACAAATATTTTTACATATTATAATGTGCTTGTTTTGAATTTCCAGTGAGAAGTATAACGAAGATGGACATCGTCCACGAACTTTTCGAACAACTCTCGTATTAAATCAAAAATAAGTAAATGAATTCATTATTTCGATTATTTTTTCAAACGTATGTAAACAACGGTGTTTCTTTTCACGTAGTCTCTTGTCTTTGAACGTTTTTCTTGCAGGATTAAAACAGGTACCCTATGTTGAACCTGAATGAAACAGTCTAAATATAAATCAAATTACATAGTTTCATTGACTCCAATAAGAACTTTTTGTTATTGTTAAGCGCCACCTTAAAACAATCTTATACAAGCTTTGAACGAACAATTCCTACAGGTTAATCTCATAGAAATGCAGAATCTAAATATTCATACAATATAAATAATTCAATGTTTATTGTGAATTGAATTGAACATATTTTATTGACAATTAAAGCCAAAAGGATAAGACACAAGTTCTGGAACAACTTAGATAGTCTTCTCCTCATACAAAATTTTTATAATATTGCCAAAATAAAGAACAATTATTTTCAGAAACAATTAGTAGTGTCAAAGACAGTAGACTCTTGATAACAGAACACAATACTATATATACAAAAAATTAAGATTTTTCAAAGAATCGACCACACTCTTTTAAAAAGGTATGAATAACTTTAAAAATTTCTACATTTTGTTGATCAGAGAATGAATCAACACCCCATAACATCAAATGGACATCTATAATGTACAAATTGTTGAATGATAATAACTTATTCATTAGAGAATATCTTGCTGTTGCATATTTTCTACAAACAAAAAACAAATGATAGGAATCCTCTATTTGTCCACATGAGCAATTCGGACTGTCAATTAAATTACAGCGAAATAGGTCAGAATTTAAAATACAATTATGTCTTAACCTTGTGTGAATAATATTCCAAAATCTTTTACCAAAAGAAAAATACTTTGGAGGTTTTACAATATTGCTTGACAAGCATCTTTTAAAACTTTTTCATAGAAGTTGCCTCCCTTATGTTAATTTTAATTGCATTCCACTTTCTAACAGTATCTGGAATAAAGGATTTATTGAATAATTCTAATCTGCATTTTGGCAAAGAATAATTGGAGGAATTTCTTGTAGAGTATTGTGAAATGTTTCCTCTAATATCAGGTACTATATTTTGAATATAAGTAGGTACTAAGTTATTGTGTATTTTGTACATTGTTACTAGATTTGTTCGATTTCTTCTATTTTCCAATGGTTCCCATCCAGTTTCCAGATAAAGTGAATTTTTAGAAGCAATAAGTGTAAGACCTGTTACAATTCTAGCAGCAAATAGTTGAACTTTCTCAAGCTTTTCTATGTCTGCCTTTGTACACCCCGACCAAACTTCAACTGCATATTCCAGTTGTGGTCTGATAAAAGAAATATACATCTGGGACAAAATATCCCATGACACATTAAATTTTAGTTTTTTCAGTAAACCAAGTTTTTTGTAAGCCTTCTTTACAATGATATCAATATGATCAGACCATCCCATATTTGAAGACAGAAGTATCCCAAGATGTGTATGTTGTGTGACATATTCTATTTGACAGTTATCAAAAATTAGATTTGGAAATTGTTGCACAGCTTTCAAATGAATACAGCTTTTGTTTTCTGTGGGTTGAATTTCAACAGCCATTTTTTCGACCATTCATGTAATACTTTAAGATCATGATTAAGATTTTGTTCAATATGATAAATATTATCTGAACATTGTTGTAAAGAATTATCATCAGCATATAATCTACAAACAGATATCATATTTTGAGCAACATCATTTACATATATCAAAAATAAGAGTGGTCCAAGTACAGATCCCTGAGGAACTCCAGCTTTTACATAACCAATGGAAGAGAGCAGATTTCTGTACTTGACTTGTTGTGTTCTATTGCTTAAATAACTTTCAAACCATTTTAGCATTTTACCATTAATTCCGTACATTTGAAGTTTATGAATTAAGCCTTTATGCCATACTCTATCAAATGCTTTGGATAAATCACAGAACACCATACAGCAGAATTTACCTTCATCAATACTTTTCACAATAGAATGGTATATTTCTAGAAGTTGATATACAGTAGAGTGCCCCGGTAAAAAACCTGACTGATATTTATAAAAAAGATTTTTTGAATGTAGGTAATTGTACACATGTTTGAAAATAATCCTTTCAAATATTTTACTTACACAACTCAACAAAGAGACAGGTCTATAATTTGAAGTTATAGAGGGGTCATCCTTCTTAAATAGTGGAAGAACATATGCCAATTTCCAACATTCAGGAAATGTTTTTAGTATTAATGATTTATTAAATAAAATACACAGTGGTTTTGATATAGTATTTTTACAAGACTTTAACATTTTGTGACTGATGCAGTCTGGACCCACTGCTTTATTGATAGGAATTACTGAGATTATGTCTGTAATCTCATATTCTTGAATTTGTATTTCTGGAAATCTATCATTACATCTAATTTCTATATTTGGAAGTTCATGGTCACTGTCGTCTAAAAAAGTGATAGATGTAAAATACTTATTCAAGAGTTCAATCTTGTCGGAGTCTAGTATTGCAAATTTATCTGTGTTAGTGTCATTTATATACTGAATTGGTGGTATTTCAATAGTCGATTTAGTGTGAAAAAAGTCTTTCAATAATTTCCAGTATAATTTTTGATTATTCTTATTAGCATCTTTTAGATGAGAATCAATGTTATCGTAGTAATTAGTTATGGCATGTTTTTTCATGTTATTAACCTTATTTCGTAGTTTACGATAATTGTTGCGATCAGATTCTGTTTAGTTTTTTGTGCTTTTTTCCTAAGTCTATTGCGATCACGAATAGTTTTCTTTAAAAGAGAATCCATCCATGGTTTATCGTTTGGTCTTATGGTTATTGTTTTTTCGGGTATGCATTGGTGAATTATAGAATTAAACTCTTCTGTAAAGTTTTTTGTAGCAGATTCCATGTTTTCTGTGTCATCAATAATTCTATTCCAGTCACTTTGTAATATAAGTGTATTTAGAAGTTCTATATCTGCATGCTTGTAATCCCATACTTTGCGTTTGTATGCCATATTAATGCTGTTGTTCTGATGAATATATATGTAAGTAGCCCTATGATCACTAAGTGTATGAGCAACATTTAAGGTGCCAGAATCATGTACATGTATATTTTCACTAATAATTATAGGATCTATAAGAGTGCCTGTGTTACAAGTGATTCTTGTTGGTTCAAGTATAATGTTTGTTAATCTGCAGCTTTCCAAAATTGTATTTACTTCATGTGATGTATTTAGTTTTAAGAAATCAACATTAAGGTCACCAAGTATTACAATATTATTCGAGATATCACTGGCTTTTTCAATAGACCAAGAGAACTTTTGCCAAAATGTACTACTAGTATGCGGTGGGCGATAAATACAGCATATAAGAAGGTTTCCCTTTGATTGGGGTATTTCTATCCATAATATTTCTGTATCAATTGGTTCTAAATCTATTCTACGACTTGCCTTAATAAAATTGGAGACAAAAATCATTACACCTCCACCATGGGAGTTTCTATCTTTTCTAAAAATACTCCTAAAACCTTGTATAAATAAGTTTTCATCTGTTATACTTGGGTCCAAGTGAGTTTCACTAAAACACAATATGTCAAAATCATGTACTAAATACATGAGGGAATCAATCTTATTTCTTATACTTCTGATATTGAGATGTAAAATATCAAGAGAATTTTCAACATTTGGACCTGGATTTGTTTCAATATCACCTGAGCGTAAGAGTATGAAAAACATAAATAACTGTGCAAAAAATTAATGTTGAGGGACCAAAATGCCAGACACTTTACTTTTGACTCTTGTACACATTCTATTACATGGTTATTTATAGGGATGTGCGATTTTATCGGTATACCGATATATCGCGATTTTTTGTTGCGTGATACGTATCGTGATATGGAGACCTGAATACCGGTCTTTAGGTACATGTTATAAAGTCCAGAAATTATTTATTTATTTGTTCAGTCTTTGAAATTACAATTACAGAAAGTATAAAAAATGTTGTTAAAAGTGAAAAGAACGGCATCTTACCATCCAAACATAATTGATTTTATATACATAAAAATTTCAAGAAAGTAAACTTTTGTTTTAATTTCTAGCATATTTTTAGCAAAATAATGACTTTTTTGTAAAATCATTGTAAAATCTGCTTTTAAAAATATCATAATATTATCATGATATTGTGGGGAAAAAATTGTGATATATCGCGATACGAAATTTTTGGCGATACCCATCCCTAGTTATTTACAACTAAATTTAGTTTTCGACATTTACCGTAGATAGTCTTTGTGACGTTCCAACAAGCATACACTGAGTTTTAGACAAATTTATACTTAATTTATTTTGCTCAATCCAACATATACTCCGTTGCAGATCTTCATAAATTTTGATTCTATGTTTTCTACTGACTTATCAGTTATAGTATGTAATATATTCTTCATTTCTTTTCATGCATGTCATGGGGGAGGGATGGGTGGCTGGGCATAATGTTTATACTGTATTAACCATACATGTAGTATATGTATTTTGATATGACCTTAGTTGAAGCTTCTTTTTGGTGTCTATTTATTAGCACATGGAGAATCCATAGCAATGGACTGCTACCAACAAAGTAAAGAAGATGTCCATGATGAATTCCTTCAGACATTTTGTTACACAGATATAGAAATGATGTAGGTATTGTAAATACACACAGTCACAGATATAGAAATGATGTAGGTATTGTACTGACCAATGGACTTTTACGAGAAGCACTGACTTCTACAGTTGACGGTTTACTTGGACATTTAAACTTGTATCATGTACGGAAGCACAGAATTGATAATGCATAAGAAAACCTTTCTAGTGGTCATAGGTATGGTGTTAGGGGTACTAACATGTGAAGACCGGGCGTTGAGAGTAGAGTGGTTGTCGTTTTCGTAAAGGACAACTGATATATGCATTGAAATAACCCGTTATTTTCGTTACTTAAATGTTGAGCTAAATATTTATATCATAAAAGAGCTACCGTACATAGCCATGAGTGTTAAAGTAAGCGTCAACTGTAAAAGTCAGGCTCCTCATAAAAGTCCAGTGCTAACTCTGACTTACTTACAGTTGTTTTTTTGTTTGTACTACATAGAAATTTTTATTGATTTTCATTTTACATTTACAAAATCAGTGTCATAGAGAACAAAGGTTCCTAAAGCAAATATGTAGCAAATGCATTTTCTGGTACAATGTATATGAAAATATATTTTTTGACAGGACAAAGATCAGAAACCAACAATTATATGGAGTCGACATAAAAACAAGGCGTCCAGAACTATTCGGTCCCAGTTACGGGAGACATTGTATTTGTGTTGTAGCCGGGCAGGTGCCCTGTCCAGCTTATGAAAAACTGCCCAAAGAAATGCGCGGGAAATTCAATCCTCTGAATGCTCGGAACAAATGGCGAAAAGCTGAAGAGGAAGTGTTAGGGACAAATCAGGAGACGGAAGTGTGACGGGAGGTCTACTACAATAAGACTGGGGGGAGGATAGTCATTCAGGTGTGATAGGGGGTCTATTGCACTCGGAAGGATGGTGTGCAGTGACTAAATGCAATAAATGAGGATCATGAGAGTTTAGAAGTGAAAACACTGAATCATAAGTGTATATGTTTCAGATGTTTATCATGCATGTATATATTGTTGAATGCATTTATTTGATGTATAAATGTATCGGTATAATTGTTGTGAGTTTTATAGATTGCACAGTAATATTTCTGTTAATAATAAATGAAAAGAACTAAAGTCTTGCATTCATTATCATTCAAAATCATATTCTATGTAAGCAATTCACTTTGATATCGTGACAATATGGATTTTTGCAATTCACTTTGATATCGTGACAATATGGATTTTGAAAGCAGTCTTCAAATCATTCAAATCACGGTGTGAGACGTGGAATAAATTAATAATTAATAGACTGTAGGAAGTGGTATTACTAACCTTTTGGTTTTGAGAAGTGGTATAACTCAATCATGGATTGTTAGAAGTGGTATTAATTAATCAATGACTGTGAGAAATGGTATAGCTATGGGACAGGGTGGTGGGAAGTGGTGATAAATAATGAACAGCGATGAGAACAGGTATAACTTAATGTACATATAATGTAATAGACTTTTAATCAAGGACTGTGAGGAGTGGTATGTGTCACTAAACATGCTAATTCATGGGATGTTGAAAAGTATTTTACTTATTTGTTGGTGGTGAGAAGTGGTATTAATTAATCAAGGACTTCGAGAAATGGCATTACTAATAGTTGGTTGTGAGAAGTGGTATAACATAATCATGGGTTGAGAGAAGTGGTATTAATTAGTCAAGGACTTCAAGAAATGGTATTACTTATTAATAATGGGTTGTGAGAAGTGGTATAACTTAATCATAGGATGTTGGAAAGGGTTTTAATTAATTGCATTGTGAGAAGTGGTATTCTTAATCATGGGTGAATTGTAAGAAGTGGAATTACTTAAGCATGTGATTTGAGATGTGGTGCATGTATACTTGTTTACATGACTTGTGTAATTTAACAATGGTTGTAAGAAGTGGTATTAGTCATGGGATGTGAGAATTTTAAGTGGTATAATTTAACCATTAGACATTGGGTTGTGGGAAGCGGTATCTGTTGTCCATACATAATCATCCCTTGTTGATCAGTAACACTGTTAAAGAGTCCAATTTTATATTTCCAGATTAAGACAAAATATTCCGTACATGTAAGTAAATTTCAGTATTGGAAACTAGTAATATTTATGTCTGAAGATCATTAAAATAATTAAATTATGATTAATATAAGGTAAATAAATGGGTTACACAAGAATTCCCTCTCACCTTATTTTAATAATATATTTCTCTCCTTATTTCGGATTCTTTATATTTAAAAATATTTAATTATATTTAAAACTTGAAAATTCAAAAACAATGTCATTTTTTTAATTTGTAATTTCCCTAATTTTAAAATGTTCTTATAAATACATGAAATATGCATAAACATATTTCACTTCAATTCAGAAATAAAATTCATTTTTTTTAAGTGTTTTCTATGATTTTTAGCTTGTGGAAATACTTAAGTTATATTAACTTTGGGGGGAAAATTAAAAAAATTTATAAGTGTGCTTTAGCGCATGCAATGAAATTAAAATTTTATGAATAAAACTGAAGTAAGGTATAATGAAGTATTCTCCCTGGCCTATTTAAAGAAAGAGATCTGCGAGATTTTCCTTCTGACTTTTGGCTGAGTTGGTAAAAGATAATTTTTAGGAAATACAATATAACATTCATAAAACTTTAATTTCATTGCAGTAAATTGATAAATGCACAAATAAAATAAGATTTTTTTTTTTTTTTTTTTTTTTTTTTTTTTTTTTTTTCATCAAGTTAGTGAAGGTACAAAGTACTAAGTTGTTCACGGCTCAGGACTCTACTCTTTTTGCCGCCAAAGGTTGGAGCTCTACAAAACATAAAAATATATGTTGAATCTGAAATGTAATTCACAAACTGAAATAAACATCAAATGTATAATAATACGTATATGTACACATGTACCCATAAAACAAGACTAAAACATTCATGCAGGTAAGTGTATAAGCCCCTAGGATGTGGAGGGTAGGGTCCACAACCTTACTTGAGTTTTATTCATAAAATTTTAATTTCATTGCATGCGCTAAAGCGCACTTATAAAATTTTTAATTTTATTTCATAAAACTGAAGTAAGGTATAATGATGTATGTTTTAAGCCAAATGTTTTAGTTTTGGTTTGATATTATTTACTTCAATCTTAACACAGAATCTGAGAATCCTGAATCATTTTGGACAGGTTTATTGTAGAAAGTAACGAAAGTACTTGCTAATTTCCAGTTTGCTTCTCCATGATTTAGACGGAGTTTGCTTTAGACGTACTAGCTCCTCTAGTAGAATGAGCTTTAAAAATATCTATATTTAAGGAATACTTCATTTGAATTAAGTGTGAGTTAAAAAGTGCTACTCTTTTTATATTGCTAGGCGTATCAACAGGGGGACCAGGGCTGCCCCCCCCCATTTTTCCCCCAACATTACCTTAACTATATAAAATTTTAATTGAATGGTTGGTTGCCCCCCCCCCCCCCCCCCCACACACACACACTTTTTACGAAATATTTATATGAAGGAATTGTAGGAAAAATTGGAAGTGAAAGTAACTTGGCCTTGAAAAAGTTGGCCACTACCCCCAATCCACTAGTATTTGAAAGGTTTAAGTGCTGTGAAATTTTAAAGGTTTATTTTCACACATTCCATGGAGATTTTAATGCTGTTATTATAAATTAATTGTTTTTTTATATTGAAAGTACTTCAGATTTTTTTAAAGTGTGTGATACATAAATCTTTGTATTCAAGCTGTGTATATTTTTTTTATTTAAATTGTGCCATGGATGAAAAACGTGTTAATAAAAAGTAGTAGCCATCAGTAAACTGATGGGACTCCGATATAAGGAAGGACAACTTTTTAATTTAATTTAAAAAGTCTCGAAATGCCAAAGTTATATTATAATTGTATAACATAGGTTAACATAAGGCTTGATTCCTTATAATTTAATTTCAGTGTAGAAAATAAGACAATTTTTTCCTCCAAAAAATGACTTCAAATCAGCATATTTCAAAAGTAACGTTAAGCGGAATACTGTATACAATATTATTTTCCCCCCATGTTATTTTTGCCTCTACACCTTGTGTTAAATCTGCCCAGCTATAGTTTTATTTAAGAAATTATAGTGTATTCTTTGAATTCGCTGCTCTTAGTTTCTCTCGCCCAAATGAGAATAGGGTGAAAAAAAAAACGGGGGCGAAAATTTCCTTGTATACAGCAATGGTTTTACGTAACTCATAGTGATGTTAGGGAACTTATGGGTATACCATGTAAGATTAATTTTGTATCCAATCAAATGACATCTTACATGTACACACAAAAATTTTACTATATATATCTTTTTAAAAATCATTTTGACAGATTCAGGGATGATTGATGAACACTTGGCATCAGTATATAGGTAAGCATCAAGTGGTACTGAGTTAGGTTTTCTCTAAAGTTTTCACATTCAATTATTTTAATCACTATTGAATTTATCACAGTGCAGGACAATTTGTGGTTGTCACTGTATGCAGTGACACAACAGTTGTGCCAGAGCGTTATGTAGCACAGGTAATTGTTCATGGACATTATAAAACTAACATATAAGCTCGTGTTTTGTTTACCAAGTTCTTTTCTTCCAGCACTTCTATTTTAGTTCTAGATATCAATTTTAGCATAAGTTTTTTCATTAGTTTTTCTTGTCATCTAGCCTTCTGATTCTCACACACTGATTGATTGAATTAAACAGTCCATATTTAGAGATCAAAACTTTATTTAACATTGTACAGTTTTCTAATCACATTGGATGTTTTTTTTCTCTTATATCATCCCTCAACCTTTTTCTAAGAGTTTTGAAAAGATGCATACCCGGTAACTTTTTTTTTTACATTAAATAAGTCTAGGAAGAAGAACTTCTTCTCAATTTTGTGATCAAAGACAAAACATTTTGACTTTACTTTTGGCCAACCAGAAAGGATGAAGGCTAGGAGCCTTTCCGCTCGGTTACAAAAGTGCTAGGACCCCGATTGTCACCCAAAAGTCCAAAGTTTAAAACTCTTTTATAAATTTGATAACTAAGATTCTGTAATATTATGGAAATAAAATCAAAGTTAGTGGATTACTAGTAAATACCAGTGACTGTTATTTTTTGTACAATATTTGAACAATAATAACTTTTGAACATTAGACACTAGGACTTTCATATTTCACCTATGTATTCTTTGTGGAAAGACCTTTCATTTGATAGCGACAACTTTGACCTTTTGACCTTGGAGATTTCCGTACTTATCAAAAAAAATAACCTTGACCATAACTTTTGAACGGTAAGGGGTAGGGTTTTCATACTTCATATATATAATTCTTGTGAGAAGGCCTTTCATTGGATACCAAGAACTTTTGACCCTTTAACCTTGACCTTGGAACTTGACATAATTTTCAAATTCTTTGACCTTGGCCACAACTTTTGAACAGTAGATACGAGGACTTTCATATTTCACATATATACTCTTTGTGGCAAGACCTCATATGATATCAACAACCTTGACCTTTTGGCCTTGACCTTGGAGATTTCTCATACTTATAAATAACTTTAACTTTTACCATAACTTTTGAATGGTAAGGGCTAGGGCTTTCATACTTCACATATGTAATCCCTGTGAAAAGACTTTTTATTGGATACCAAGAATTTTTACCCTTTGATCTTGACCTTGGAGTTCAATGATAATTTCTAAATAAATGACATATGAAAGGGTGTTCATATTAGACACAATATGTCATAAACTATAAATCACAATTCACCCACAAAGACATCAAAAGCGGGGGACCACAATTCTTTGATTTTGTTTGTATTCAGTTATCCTGAATTTGGTGTCTATGTTACTTGCATGATTACTTCTTCTAAGAGTCTAAAGTAAAGAACTAATACAACTTTGGCTTATTCCATTTTTGTAATTAGTAGACATGCGTATTACAGTAACACAGCAGATTTATAATAACTAAGTCAAAATTCAAACGCTATTGAACATACATCAAACATAATACTTCATCAGATTTTATGTTTTGTTTTAAAATTCGTAGCTTAATTACTTTAATTTCAATCACACCAAGTTACCGTACATAAAACATGCTTATTTTATTAAACTGTACATTGTATCCCTTTTCCTACATCTTGGATTATCTTTCAATAATATTTTTCTGCAAGAGGAAAGTGAAGTGACTTTATCAGTATACGAGGGGTTATCAAAAAGTTCGTGTACTGAGGCTTTAAAATTAGTACCATGTAGTCTGAGCTTACAAAATTTATATGGAGCATAAAACAACAAAAAATAAATTAATGTTGAAAATTTTAGTTTGATACGTTCATCATTCCCCAAGTTATTATAAACTAAAAACGACATTATATCAGCACCCGGCGCCGTCGCCGTTTAGTTTAATGCCTTCCGACAACGTTATTGTTTTTCAATGTCTGCTTCTTCTACCTCATACACTTATTTTGATTAGATCTCCTGGAGCTGAGTAAGGACTTCAGTTCGTATTGTTTATATGACTTTAAAATGCCACGAACAGCGGCTTTCAATGCAAATACTATTGCAAATGGATTTATATAATGGCAGAGATCCTCGCTTGATTGTGCCAGCATATTTTGCTTTTTGGAGTTCAATATTTACAACACATTATCAACGTCATTTTTTGACGTGATTGATTTTTCACACCTTGACTACAAATCGACGTAAACTGTGCATTCCTTTTCTCTCTCGAATATATTTTGGCATTAAAAACAAGTAATCTGGATGCAGATTATTTCTTTTTAGCCAGTTTAAACATTTCCTGGGTGTTTATCACTTTTTCTATGTGCAAAACTTTATAGAATGTTGGTAAAGGAAGCCTCTCCCCTCTTTTGACGTCATTTTCAAGGCAATTTTTGTTTGGATACTCCATGTAAAACTTACGATAAAATTTCATAGAAATTCCAGAATGAGGTAAAAATTTAATATTTTATGGAACAAAAGTGTCCCAACACATACCTTAATAAACGGGATTTTGGGATGTCAAATGTGGATATCACAATGGTTTTTCTTAGTTGCTACTTAGATCGAAAAAAAACGTCATTTTCGGGGTTGCGCCGCATGGACATACCATTGCTTACAAAATCATTACTAATTTATTGAAAAATAAAATTCATTATTTGTAATTTATTCTATAGATAGAAAAGATGATGAAAACTAGATATTTTAAAATTCATTCATGTACCTAAAGCGGTTTTAATTTTATGATTTTCATATAATTTTTGATAGCCCCACGTACATGTAAAAAAAAACAATTCTAACAACTTGTAAAATTTAGCCCTTCTGTCACACATTTTACTGCGGTTTCGAAGAATGAGTTTACTGTATCATGAAAGAGGCGTATCGTTCACCTCTAGAAATGACTGAGACATGGTGATGGTACTCAGTATCGGGTATAAAACTCTTCAGAACAAGAATTGGTATGTGTTAGAATACTTTGCTGGATATTCTATTCGAAATACATCACCAGATTACCCTTCTGGAGCAGATTCCAGATCATGCCATTATTCAACGAATTTCTCATTTATTCTCTAACACAAATGGATACTAATGAACTCTTTGAATGTCTAGTTTACTCTTACTTAGCTAACATCCAGCGTATGCATAGGAGTGTAGATTAAAGGAGTAAAGCAGATTTACGTTTCATCGTAGGCAAATCCTGATATATGAACAACGCAGTTCTTTATAGGAGGAGGAAACACTGATATGGTCAGATTGAAAGGAATTCTTCTACTTTCTTTTAGAACTGTAACATTTCCAGACTATAACTCAAGACAGGCCAAGATTCGTACTTTGCCAGAAATAAAAAGACTGTTAAGAAGTTGCTGCTTTCAATTTCTTGAAATTCAATGCAGAAATCTTGGTGTCGCAGGATCATTTTTTTTTCTATGATACTATTTATGATGATTTGAGCATGCGTCATCTCGTTCATTTACGGTTTGTAAATTCATGACCTCTGGTATCACACTGTGAGAATGGAATGTGTATGGAGGTACAACGGGAAAATTTTTATTTGACCAATAGAGTTAAAAAAAAAGCTTTAATGCCACCGTTTGTCAGAACAATTCTACACATGGACAAAATGTTTTTTTTATTTAAGAAGAAACTTTAAGGCAATATTAAATGGGATAAAATAATATTAAACAAGAAAATATGAACCCAGTATACTGTAATGATATCCAGCTTTACGTAAAACAAATTCCATTCAGAAGCAAATATAAACACAATTTCAGATATTTATAAGTCACATAAATTATACCTGCACTCATACGAAAAGATCGCTGTAATCTTATGAAATATCATCACAGTTTTATTTTCTGAATAATGTCATTTAAAAGAAATGTCAATAGAATAATATCACGATTTGCAAAACACAAACATAGTTTATATAAAGCTAAACTGGTCGCTAAAATCCTGGTCAAACTTCATAGCCACCTCTGTGTATCTGCCCGTGTTGTCCTCGTATTTACGGCAGGTAGAAAAGGGTTGAAAATAAAGGTGAAGGGTCACTGCGCCTTCCACGTGACTTCTGTTTCCAACGCGATGAAGACCGTCTGCGTCTAAGAGAAGAGATGGTACTTGTCATTGAAATAAGAAAAAACAATGTTAGAATGAAAATTATATGTACAGATGTTTCCCGTGGGATTTGTTTTTAAGTTAGCGATTTCTTTTCTTTTTTTCAAGGTATTGTCAGAAGACCTTACTTCTTCGCTCGCTATACTGTAAACCAACTTTTATTAGCGGCCAGTTTATTTCGCTATTTACAGGGGAAAACAAAGTCGTGACAATTTATTTTCGCTACGAAGTTTTTCTTAGATCTCTAAATAGAGACATAAGTTCACGGCAAGAAATATTAGAAAAAGGCTCTTGCGAACATTACTCGCACGCGAATAAAAGTTGGTTTACAGTAATTCCTTGCCAAGAAATGCGTTGAATCCAGGCGTTTACGATTATTTTTTTTTCGCCGAACTGCGTTCGTTATCTTTAACATTTTTCATCTAATAGTCCGAAAACCTTACACAAATCCAAGACTTGGTTATCAAAATACTTGCCAGTGATATGGGCTACATCGTTGACTTTGTATACGTTATCCGCTATCTTCTCCATTTTACATCCACATGACGTCACATCCGGATGTTTATACATCTCCTCATATACCTCACCCTTCAGTGTCTTCATAAAGCAGTGAGAGTTGGCGTGATTATGTATGGGGCTTTTCTGGTTTTTGTTCCAACACAGTATCATAAGGTTGTACAGTCCATTCCCTTTGTCCAACAAAGTCCTTGTGTATCTGATCAGCAAATGAATTTATAAAAAAAATTAAGGTTGTCTCAACTCTTTCAAATCAAATAAGATGATGCAAAATAGATAGGCCAAATTTTCCTCTAAGTCAATTTTTTTAAAACTTTGAAATTTTGTTGTAGTTTACTAAATTTCTCTTAATGTGTATTTTGAAAAAAAAGTTTATATATAGTTTATATATATATATATATATATATATATATAGAAAGCACAAAGAAATTCACTTTTACATGGATACCATAATTAATTTCATTACAACATGTATTGGTAACAATCCTCTGTTAAAACTAATGTCCAAATAACTGTATCTCACTTCTATTCTCAATGACTGTGTAGTGTAGGGCAGCGCCGCGAGAATTCCATCGGCATCGAAAGCAAGTTTTTTTTTACTTGCCTAGATAGCCGAGCGGTCTAGCGCGCTGTTCCTGCACTGCTAGGAGACAGATTCCGAAGGTCGAGAGTTCAACCCCGGGCTGGGGCGGAAGTGGGTATCCATGTAAAAGTGAATTTCTTTGTGCTTTCTATATTAATATTTCTTCACTTAGGGCAGTTATGTTAGTTTAAGAGTTGTTGTAAAATGTGCTTTATAGATAATAATTAATTTCATTACAACATGTATTGGTAACAATCCTCTGTTAAAACTAATGTCCAAATAACTGTATCTCACTTCTATTCTCAATGACTGTGTAGTGTAGGGCAGCGCCGCGAGAATTCCATCGGCATCGAAAGCAAGTTTTTTTGACTTGCCTAGATAGCCGAGCGGTCTAGCGCGCTGTTCCTGCACTGCTAGGAGACAGATTCCGAAGGTCGAGAGTTCAACCCCGGGCTGGGGCGGAAGTGGGTATCCATGTAAAAGTGAATTTCTTTGTGCTTTCTATATTAATATTTCTTCACTTAGGGCAGTTATGTTAGTTTAAGAGTTGTTGTAAAATGTGCTTTATATATATATTTATATATATATATATAAATATATATATATATATATATATATATATATATATATATATATATATATATATATATATATATATATATATATATTGAAGAAAATTAATTCGCACATTCTTTTGCCAACATGGTTTGAAACATGGCCTATAAGACTCCTGTAAGAAGACTATGAAATCAGACACAGCACTTCAGAATATGCATTTTTACATTTTGAAAATTACCGCTTTTAATGCATTTTATAAATACCTCCTTATGTTATCCTAAATTACAGTGATGCCGGTACATTTTTTTAAATGTTAAGAATAGAACCTAGTTAGACAAGGAATCGATAATTTACGTTCAAGTATCCAACACTACTTTATTACAGAGAAAAGTATAATTAAATTTTCACCAAAGAAACAACAGAATGGTTGATATAGAACCTGGATTAAGATGTGCTAAAATGAAGAATATTGAACCGATAGATTAAGGAATTTTGACTGTGTAAATAAATATTCAATACAGAAAAATAAGATTGACTAGAGCAGAGATCGTTGCGAAGCAACGAGTAGGTCTTCCGTCATGTTTGACCGGAAGTAGCTTTAATTTTTAACAAAAATGAGAAATAACGCCTAAAAATGGTTTGAATCCTCTAAAGCTATGTTAATTAATACAAAATTAAGGTATTAGATGTATAACAAGCATTGTTGAAGAATGAAATTTTACTTTATATTTCCTTATCTTTAGTGTTTTGAGGCTTTGATTCCAAAGTTACATAAAGTTTTGTCCAGACATATCATAAAAAAGTAGAATTTTCAAATCATACCCCCACTGTCGGAAACAGTGAAGAGTGTGTTATACCAGAAAAGGAATTCTGTGAAATAAACTCACTTTCAGACTTTAATTTTACGTTAGATGGAGAAAAATAACATAGACGCTTCATAATAAAAGACTTTTTTTTTAAAGTTACAATTAATAAAATTTCCACATTAAAATACGTTACTCAATGCTAAGTGTGTATTTCTTATAAAAACAATTAATTTTTAACTTTTTTTTAATTAAAAAAAGAAAAGAATGGGCTAAAAATTTCTTTGATAGAAAATGACTCTTATTAATGTTATACAAAAATAAAATACATAAAATATTTTTACCAGGATATTTTGCAGTAATTAAGAATTTACTACCCCTACCCCCAATTTTAGTATCCGTTTGCTGACACACAAATATAACTTTTCATTCTCAACACTTTTAGTATGATTATGCCATACTTATATATTGATAAGTGTATAAAACAACATAAATAAATAAGCCTTATGACATTTTTAACAATGTCCTTGACCTTTTAACCTAAAAAAAAACGTATTTATACACTTGTAAAGAACAATTCTGGGAGATAAAAAAAATGTACAAGTAATCTTGTTCTTATGTTAGTTTAAAAAAGTATGGTATTTTTTCCTCATATGTACAGAGAATTGCAAAAATCATGAAAATGAAATTAATATAAATATTTATTATGATAACCCCCCCCCCTCCATATCTATCTACTTCCAGTTTGGAACTGACGACGCCGGGCGTATTTTGACGACTTCAATAGATTAAGCATGACATTTTGAACAACTTTTCTTCTTTGACGTATTACTAATTCTCAATTCGTTCTGATTTATAAAGAAAAAACTGTCGGCCCCTCTACCCCCCTAATTGTAAGGACCAGCCCTTTTTAAAAGATATCATTTGAAAGGTCTTGGAATTTTACACTTCTTTTATTCTATATGTTTTAACAGAATATTTCCAGTTAAAAAGATATTGTAAAGGAAGTGTTAAAAATTTTGAAATTCGGGATACGACTATTTTCGGACCATAGCGAGCGCCGACATGCGGCACTTCCGATAAAAATGAAATACTTTATACATATCTATACACTTTGGTTTATCATACCTGAAAGTTTCATGTTTCTATCTTGAGCCATTATTGAAAAACTGTCGGACAAAATGACCCTCCAAAACTCACTAAATCGCAGAAAACTCTGAACCGGAAGTGAGATCATCAAATTAAAAAAAAAACCTCAAGTTCATTTAATTTGTCATCAATGCTGAAAGTTTCATGAAAATCCATCGACGCGTTTACGAGAAATCGCCTGCACAACATCGGTAAGAATAATAATAAGAAAAGTTGAAAAGAAACAACAGAATTATAAGACAGCCTTCCGTTGAACGGAAGATCTTAATCATCAGTAGGTGATGTCACAATATTTGACCTCTAAGTATGACCTTGACCTTTATCATGAATAAGGAATGGAAACTTCTAATAAATATTTTCAAATAACAGGTATATTTTAAATAGATCAAAAGTTACTTTGCATTTAATAACAAACTGTCATTTCGCATCTACATGACAAATGTAGGCTCTCAATTAACCAATATATGTAGGATACTTTTTTTACTTTTTAATTAAAATTGTGTCAAAAATTACCAATTTCCTTCCAAAGATCATTGATAATTGACAATACAGTGATATTATTCTTTTTTTTATTTAGTGTATGTATAAGAAATAAGTTAAAACAGATTGTGTTGGAGTGTTTTTTTACTACCTTAAATACTATTACTACATGTATATAATTAACAGAATTGTAGGGCTGAAGGATAGATAATATTTTTCAACATCAGATAAAAGGTCATCTAAAGCAAACAGTAAACTGTAGATTATGATTTGTTAGGAGAAGCAATCATTATTGTTTGTCCATTATACAAACGCATGCAAGGGGATAATAATCAGACACAGAAATTATTCAACTTTTTTAAAAAAATAATTTCTTTAGTATTGTAATCAGACATGAATACCCGAATGACAGCGGCATACAGTTCGTAAAACCGTTGTCGGATTTATTCCTGAATATTCCATCCTTCCCATACACATTTAAAATGACATTTATTTATATTTAATTTTTTTAGGCAGTGAACCAATTGTCATTAACAAGCTGATGGCGACAAGTAAGGTAGCGTTGTTGTTGTGTTTGTTGTAAAGAATTGAGCAAGAAAACCCTCAGTTTTTTTCCTTAAAATAATCACACGCCATGGAAATAAGATCTACAAAAACCAAGGGTATCATCTGCGGTAATTAGAATGTTATAACCCGTGACAGTTATAATCCCAGACTTTATGTTAAACACCTATAATTATAAACAACACATCCATTCAGTTCATTTTATTTTTAAAAGGAATGAAAACGATACTTGAGGTTTAACCCTGAAACACTCATATTTTCTATAACAGATTTCTTGGAAGTATTTTAATTTTAGTGCTGCATGTGTCTTCCTCATTCTTCAATGCAAAAGAGAAAGAACAACACAAACTTAAATCTGCATTTATTTAAAATAGGCCATTGTCATACAATAATAATGTTTCAGACCTTTTTAATCGACGATTTTTTATGACATACCCACCTTACAATATGTTAAATTTCCCAAATCACTCCCTTTTAAATGAACACAAAAGCTTGAATTTAATTCTGCACGTCAATTCCGAATCCGGCAAGCAGTTTCCCTGAATATCATTGAACAATAGGATCGAATGCGAAGCAACAACACATTTCGTTTGTTACAAAAATTTATTTCAAACTGTGAATGTTATTAAGTATTTGTAAGAAAAAGCAACTATTCATTTTTATGTGTTATCTGTTATACAAACGTATGTAAGATAACTATAATCCTTGATATTTCTTTTTTTTCGAATTCAATAAATCTATTATAAAAGCGGACGAATATTGCAACTAATTGCTGCAGATAGCTACTACATTTCTGATTTGGATCCAAAGAGTGACCACATTTCCTTATCCAAAAAAATCATGAATAATGAAAAAAAATCGTGTCAGAGAGAAATTATTCAACCTCCATTTAATTCCTCTTTTATTCTTGCAGATGAATAGTTACATGTACTAGACAAGAATATCTAAATAAAAGTGGCATCTCGTTCGTTAACCATTTTTTTTCTTAATGATTGCTTCATCCTTTCCATATACATTTTATATTACAATTATATATTTATGATTTATTTTAATCGGCTTTTTTGTGCGTACCAATTTTCATTAACAAGCGTATGTCGACAGGCAAGTTAGCGATGTTGTTGAGTGTTATAGAGAATTAAACAAGTAAATTTTCAGCTTTTTAAAAATAATTCCACGGTATTCTAACACGTCAGGTGGAAATTTAATGACCTACCGAAACCAAAGTATCTTCAGTAATTGAAATTTCATACCCCGTGACGGACAGCTTTTATCCTGTACTTTACCGATATGACAACTTTATTTATAAACAACTCAACAGTTCAGTTAATTTTAGGAAATGACAGATTTCTTGGAAGTATCCTAAATTGTGGAACAAACTACCTTGGCATTTAAACAATAAAAATATATTGGAGTTATTTTCCTTCTGATTTAATAATATCAAAAAAAAGGTTGGATGTACAAGAAAGGCTTGAAGCAAAAAAAAAATCAAAGAAATAATGGAAGTGTGACAGGTTTAGCAAAATAATTGTATGAGGTTGGGAGAGAATTGCATATATTAAAACGAAGAAGTAAAAACAAGAAATAAAAAAACGAAAAAGCAGATTATACTTTAACAAATTTCATATATGAATCAATTACTACTGTCTTTTATTATCAAAGTTAATTTTTAAAAGCATATTATAGACATGTGTGATTCAAGGCATATTTTAAAAATATTTTTGTGTGTGAGTGAAGCAAGTGTCGTCTCACTACTTTAATGCTTAGACAAACTTAGACCCAAGTTTTATTTCAAATTTGGTTACAATGAATAATGATACAGTTTTGATTTCTTTAGATTCTTTTTATCGACAAAGTATATTTTTAATATGGTATACCACTTTAAAACATTTAATTTCTCAAATCCTTTAATTTAAAATGAACATAAAAACTTAAGTTTTGTTCAGAAAGTAAATTTCTTATCGTCAAGTATAATTTCCCTTTTAATATCAGTTAAAAGTGAAATTGTATACGGTATAAGAAACAGCAAGGATTTAAGATGTGTGTGTGTGTGTTTTTTTTTTGCATTACGCAGTGCAGGAGATTAAAGTATCAAGGCAGAGGTCATGGTTGAATACGTGCATTAATAAAAGAGGAACATTATTATTTTGAAATATATTGTATTCATCATGGAATTCAAACTTACTTTTCATCACTCCAGAATTCCTTCCCCTCCCAGTCTTTGGGGTAACTCTTGTATTGAGACATTAGGTGTTTGACCCTATCCACGGAATCTTTTGTTATTCCATTTTTCAGTTCATTTTTCAAATCTTCCTGCAGAGCTTTAAGATCGTAGCGGCCCATTTGCGTTGTCCAATTGTTCAAGTATTGGAACTACCGACTGACTACCAAGTTTATGTATTAAAATATAAAGTACAAGTTATGCAAAATACATCCTTATATAGCAGTCTGAAAAGCAGGGCTATTTGATTATTTGTTTTTAAAAATACTTTGTTCTAGAAAATGCTTTGAATGTTCAGATATGGTTTTTCATAGATGATGAATATAAGTTAGATAACATTGTTTTGACCTTCAAATTAAGTTAAAACAATTAACTATAATCTAAATACAGAACCCCCAGTTTTTGGAGAATATGAAACATAAATTGTAAATCAAAATACCCATTTAAAATGATCAAACAAGACCTTTATTGGAAATACACGTGAGTCACAATTTCCATGAAAATAATAAAAATCACTCGCCGGTATCCACTGAGTTACTTATAGATGCTGTCACTTAAAAAATTACAGCCTTCTTTTCATAAATTTAATCACTGCAAACTGTAGTAAAATACCTACACACAAAATAGGGATATATAAACCTATTTATTCTTATATTTCCGTGTTCTTTCCCAAAATTCATGACCTAGGCATTTACACCAAAGGAAAAAATTTAAATAATTAAAGATGCTGTTTACCCATCACTTTTGTTGATATTATAAACGTAGTGGACTCTGCTCTATAAATAGCACGGAAAATAAACTATAAAAATAACATACAGAGAGAGAGAGAGAGTGAGAGAGAGAGTAAAATAGACTTGTTCGTATCTCTTAAAAAATGTATAAAAGAAATTTCCCAAAGTAAACCAGTACAGAAAAGGGAGAAAAAAGGTTGCATCATTTCCCAGTCGGTTTTAAATGTTTGAACTTGCAAATTAAATTTAAATTAAATTTTTAATTTTTTTATTCGGAAAATGCAATTCCTAGAAAATTACTTTAACTGCCTTTATAAGAATTCCCATATAGCTTGACACGAACCAATAAAAAGTCATTCAGGCGCTTCTCCTTCAAATTGCTGTTTGAAGTTATGCGCCTTTGTTAAAATGTTAACTATAACTTGTATCTATCTACAAAAGGCCCGTCTAACCCGGTATTGTCATTAAGAGACAGATGCAATACAGATAAGTCATTGCAGAATTCTGTTTTTGAAAAAAATTAATTCATTTGATTATATTCGATTATATAATTGTGATTCTCATTGTTAAAGAGTGAGCACTTTGACGGCAATTTTAATACAATCAGATTGAGGAAAGTAACACTCTTTAAAATGTTCATGTCTTAGAGGTCACAGGTACAAAGTACCAGGTGTAACATAAAACTTAAACTATCATTATCTCCTTCATATCCCCTCTTTAAATAACACTTAGTTTTATAAGCTGACAAAAAAAACATTAAATGTGCTTTTATACATCCTTAACCCATGCCCTTCATTGATAAACAGATATTTTTTTCCAGTGAAGCAATCATTTGTTTTAAATATACAATTTTTTAAAAATATGTATTTAATTAATTAAATATTTATTTTTGAAATATTTGTTTCAGGTTACTTTCTATCTGTTAATCAATAATAAATTTATAATCTGTAAAAGTTTTAACTTTATTCCTCAAATAATATTAGACTTATTGTTAAAAAAATTGGACGTCTTTACTTTTGGAAAAACCTGAATTAAAACTCTAGTAAATTGAATTTAAGATTTTGTTGGGAAGTTGTCGGTCCAAAAAGCACAAGTCGAGCAGACAAATAATCATCGTGGCATTCAATGTTGCCGGCACAGCTAGGTGCTGTTATATGACGATGACATCTAAGAAAAGAATGAAATGCTTCAGATTGATTCAGTTTTTGTTTTACAATGTAAACATGCCCCGTCCCCGCCTTTTGGGTAGTCCACTTTTATTTACACGTGATGTTACACTTATATCGCCTAGATGCTTTTGTCCTTGATGTAAGCTGTTTTAAGTTCTTTTCTTAATATAAACCGGTTTTCATTTTGACTCGGTATTTTAATTTGCATTTTAACAATTGTTTGATTTGTAGAATCATTAATAGTATTGTGGAATCATGCCGGTGATAAAAGGATTTATTTTTATATCAGATTAGCTTTCTCTGGTCTTATTTCTATCATAAAGCTTTAAGGATATCATACTGAAAATTGGAGCGTCTTTGGCTTTTCTCTCGTCTTTTGCATTAACCTGAATACAACTTTATGAACTGTCTAGTTATGACACCTTTTTCGTATACATTGTACATTTTGTTTTGCTTAATTTACTAATGTAATAAATACGTTTTCCAGCATTTTTTCTCAACTGAGAGTGTTATAAATGGAATAAATACTACTTATTGGTCAACCGTAAGCTTTCCTGGTATTGTTTATCCAAGATTCTTAGAACCTCATGAAACAAACACGAATTGAAAATTTTGTAGTTTTATATGGCATTTTAGCATGAAATAATCTTTTCATAAGTTTGGTATATATATCAACACCGAAGGTCTGATTCAAACTGACCATAATTATTTTTACAACAAAACATACATACTAAACAAGGAAAGAGTCAAATAAAATGATTAACAAAAAGTGACAAGAAATAAAGTATCAATCAATTCTTGGACGAATGGTGACATTTTAACGGCATGTAAATAAATGAATTACTGTAACAGATGAAAGAATAAGTGTTAATAACTACCATCTGCCTTGGAAGACGGTATTGTAAAGTTGAAGTTTTTTACAGTCTTCGGACTATGCACTTACTCTCTTTTGTGATTGGTAGAAATTGCATGATGAGAAAATTTCCAATTATTTCATTGGTTGAAATGTTGTTCAAGGCAAGGGAGATAACTTTCTGATGATCTATTTTTCGTACGACTTAACAATTTTGCAAGATTTCCAATCTTTAAAAAATGACAAAACGAACAACAAAATCAGCAGTAATTATTTCTTAATAACATGATATTTTTTATAGCAATAAATGTAAAGGTCTCTTTAATTTCATTATCAATAAAATTTGATAGTTATTGCTTGCAGGCTTTACAATTTGTTATTATTCTTTTCCCCATTCTTGTTTGAAGAGGAATGGGAATCAGCCGAGGTTTGCCGAAAGCTCTCGGCCAGTCAAAGTTTACGTAGATGACCGACCGACAACCGTGGTAGGGCTAATGCCCGTAAAAAGCTAATTTAGAAATGCAAAATCAAATAATTCAAAAGAATTATACGGCATGTTAAGTGTAGATCTGTTTACTGTTTATAATTGTTGCTATAGACGGTAAGCTTTTTTGAAAAGCTCTACTTGTAATATATTAATAGAAATCAATAAAGGGATTAACTGTCTATCTCTGACTGTGCTTTCGTAGAGATTAAGGCTGCGCGGAATTTATGAAATTTATCACACTTGCTAAAATATACAAAGTTTTGATATCATTCTACACAAAGTCCGATCATGTTATTTACACAGTTATCTAAAATAAGTTCAAAAATACTTTATTCCAGATCGTAACATTATCATTTAATAGTCATAACAATTCGTACGTTTTGGTTATTTTTCTCAAAGTATACATTCTTAATGCCGATTATTCTCCACAACAGGAACTTGCGCAGCATTGTTGGCTGAAATCCTTGTCGATCTCCATCTTGACCTCTGTTGACTTGCCTGTGTCGTCATCATACGTCCGACACGAGGCAAATGGCGGGGAATAAAGATGTAAAGTAACAGCACCTTCTGTTTGACTTTTGTTCCCGACTCTATGAAGACCTTCTGCGTCTAAATACAAGACAAGGCAAGCGTATTAGTAAACAATTATAAATACTAGTATATCATGAAGATGCCTAACAAGTAACAAGGTGCTGATAGAAGCACCAATTAAGATACAAACAATTTTTAGATTTAACTACATGATTCTAGGGACGCTATCAAAGTACTACGGAAAAAAACGCTACTCCATCTCGACAAAAGTTTGTTAAAGCCTCATGCAATGTAGTGTAGAACTTTTGAATTTCCGAGAGAAAACAGTTGATTGGAATTTTAGAACAGATTTTGGTTATTGTTTGACTTGAATTATCCCATACTTTGCAACGCAGTAATAGTTAGGGTGATTAAAACTGGTGACATATGTGACGCGCCAAGCAAAAACCTTCCTTATATCTATTATGACATGCAGAAGGATAAAACGTACGCTCAACTAGGACCTGGGGTCCCCCGCAAATAGTTCGTCATTTTGCGTAGTAATAAAACATTCTAGGAACTCTCCAGGCATTAAAGGCACAAAAGTAAATTCATCGATATCAATACGGAGACCTCAGGTCACCTTATATATTAACTGAATTTTATATGATAGACAATTTTCTTTGTCTTACTCAAAAATAATCATTTTCATAACTTTATAAAGATCAACTTTCTAATATATATATTAGCAGAAACGTGAAAATAATAAAGGGTGACTAGAGGTAACCTCATATTGTACATCAATAGGGGGACCAAAGATCACCTCACACTGTACATCAGTAGGGGAACCAAAGGCCACCTTATATTTAACATCATTAGGGAGACCAGTGGTCACCTTATATTGTACATCATCAGAGGGATCATAGGTCACCTTACATTTTAAATTAATAGGGGTCCAAAGGTAATCTTTTATTGCACATAATAGGGGGGACCTGGGGATACCTTATATCGTACATCATTTGGGGGACCAGAGGTCACCCAATATTATACATCAGTAGGGGGACTAGAGGTAACCTTATATTGTACTGTACATCAGTAGGGGGACCAGAGGACACCTTATACTATACATCTGTAGGGGGACCAGAGGACACCTTATATTGTACATGAGTAGGGGGGCAGAGGTCACCTTATATTGTACATCAGTAGGGGGACGAGAGGACACCTTATACTGTACATCAGTACGGGGACCAGAGGTCACCCGATATTTTACATTAGTACGGGGACTAGTAGTCACTTAATATTGTACTGTTCATTAGTAGAGAGACCAGAGGTCACCTTATATTGTACATCAGTAGTAGGACCAGAAGTCATCGTATATTGTACATCAGCAGAAGGACCAGAGGTCACTTTATTT